AACACTGTCCAGTTACAAAGTGTATCTACACACGTGTGTGTCTGCACTGTCCAGTTACAAGACACACGTGTGTAGGTACAATCTCACAGAATCTTCACTTTAACTGCCTGCCTGTAGTTAGTTTGTATGTTTTTAACTGCCTGCCTGTAGCTAGTTTGTACGTTTTTAACTGCCTGCCTGTAGTTAGTTTGTACGTTTTTAACTGCCTGCCTGTAGTTAGTTTGTACGTTTTTAACTGCCTGTCTGTAGTTAGTTTGTACGTTTTTAACTGCCTGCCTGTAGCTAGTTTGTACGTTTTTAACTGCCTGCCTGTAGTTAGTTTCTACGTTTTTAACTGCCTAGTGCGTATAAGGAAGATTACATAATGCAGAAGGAAACTATGTTTTAAGACATAGCTAATACCGGATTAAAAAGCGGTGTAATGTGGGGGCATTATAATGTGACGATCAATCCTACTATTCTTTGGTGAAGAGCAGCCCAAGAGTTGGCGGTGGGTGGTGTAGACTAGCTGCATTCTCTCCAGTATATCACTTAAAATTTAGGGGTTAGCTTGCGCGAAATTAAACAAACAAACAGTTTTCAGGCCTACATTGCTGTTTGAAATGATTGAGATAAGCCTAATGGCGGAAGCTTGTTCACCATGTTGAATATCTCTACAACAAACTTTTCAAGTTAATTTGATCTATATGAAAGTTACCATTTTTCTTGCACACGGAACATTCCTGTGGCTAGTTCAATAAAATACAAGTTCGAGTTTATTACTATCTGGTTTTCCCGGGATTAAACGTAATTTTGTATGCGAAATGTGTATCCACAGTTTACATATACTTGCTGATTTACTGCCATTATTTAAATGAGAATTTTAGACGGATAATTAAATAAGATAATTATATAACGGTAATTTAATCAAAACTATAACAACATAAACATTTAAATGAGTAACAAACAAAATACTGTACATATTAGAAAATGTGCAATTTAAACGAAGACTGCACATTGTGCAGTATTGGTGGAAGTTCTTCCGAAGCCTGGCGTGAAAACAAGTAACTACGATAAATTTCGAGACCGCCTATTGTACTTTTATGTTTTTAAAATAATAACATTCTAATATCCTTCAATATTGTCACATCGTTGCGAAAAACATCAACACTGCCATCTGGTGACAAGGTCCTCACAAGATATAATTTTCAATGAACACGAATGGAGAATCTCTATCTATTATTTACAAAATCAGTGGTTGACACTGTGGAAGGTCAACGGACACGTGTTGGTATCAGGTGGAACTACATCTGAACTGATACTATATATTCAAGGTCGATCTCTATAGTGGTTGTCACGCCATATCAGACGTGACTGAACAAGATACACTGTACTTACTGACTGTTTTTTATAGGGGTGTGTGAGTATGGTAGTGTGTTCGGGGCTTAAAAAACAACACATTCTGTATGAGCCTAATCTCTCTAAAGTAAGCTATTTTATGGAAACTCTTACCTCGACAAATGTGAACTTCACGTTTCATTAACTCCTATTATTGTGAAATGAACTATAGATATTGTAAAATAACAGTGTGTGTGTGTGTTGGGGGGGGGGGTGATTGTTGAGAATTCCTTTACTTCCAAATTGCACTTTACCGGTATAGCATGTTTCGCATAATAAGGGAGCGTATTACAATAAATACTAATACACAACAGAATAATTAATAAACAAAAACCTAGTATAACAAGTTTCATATGATAAGGGACAGTAATAAAACAAGCACATTAACTAATACTCTATAAAACCTCTTCTATAAACAAGGAACTGGTATAACAAGTTTCATATGATCAGGGACAGCTCGGTTGCAATCATTCCAAGTTTATCCGATGAAACTTCCCTTAATATGATATCAAATACACAATTTTCTGATTAAAAGTACGCTCATAGAACACATAATTTTCAATCAGTTGTGATTCAAACTTAAAATGTCACCCATCGGTTGGTCAGCAGTAAATTTGTGGACTTACAACGCTGAAATTCGAAGTTAGTTTCCCGACGATGGAGAGAGAGCGAGGGGAGCCCATTGTGTAGCTTTTCGATAAAAAAAAAAAAATCCTAAAATGCTCTTCGATACCAATCAAAATGATTACGATATTTTAATCTGTGTTTCTCTGGGGTATCCAAATAGAATGCCCAATATAATTAATTCATATTTCTTGTTAAATGATG